ATGCTTTATCATCTTTGACATGTCTCCAGTTCATATCTTTAGCCGTTCTGGAGGAGATGCAAAGACAACAATCCATTTTAAAATCAGGAAATTGGCAATTTCATGGAACCGGAAGGGAATTTTCCAAATTTTCTTTGTGATGAACAAAGTTCATATCATTGTCCATTATCTCTGAAAGTTTCACTGAAATCCAGTGAATAGTGTTTGAGAAATCGCGTGCACAATTTTGGGGGGAGCCGAATATAATTAATGAAATATGGATAAATTAATTTCAAACCAAATTATATATTTAGGTTTTAAATGAAAATCTCTAATATCCCTATTAATATCATGAAGAAAATTTGAAAAAAAAAAAAGTTGGAAAAATTGACTTTTGAAATTCGCTTCCGGCGGCGACCGGAAGTAATGACGACGCCCAAAAAAATAACGTTGCAGATCTACAACTCATGCTCTATCATCTTTGACATGTCTCCAGTTTAAACCTTTAGCCGTTCTTGAGGAGATGCGAAGACAAAAATCCATTTTAAAATCAGGAAATTGGCCATAACTTGGAACCGGAAGGGAATTTTCCAAATTTTCTTTGTGATGAACAAAGTTCATATCATTGTCCATTATCTCTGAAAGTTTCACTGAAATCCAGTGAATAGTGTTTGAGAAATCGCGTGCACAAATTTTTGGGAAAAAAAAGAATAATAACTAGATGCGTTTCTTGTTGCTAGGGCAACAAGTGGTCTTCCGACCGAAATTTTCTCCAGAACGCTATGCTATCTCACTTTATTTAATACTTTATTGAAGGTATTTTTCGTTTGCGTTTATGTAACACAGTCTTTCAACATAGATCATGATTTTTAAAGGATTTCTGTAGAATCTCTGTTAACAAAGCTTAAAAAAATAAGCAAAAACTATCATACATATCTTCACGGAGAAAAATATTATTTACAACTGAAAAAAGAGAGAAACAATCTCCTGCCCAAGCAGGATTCAAACCCGCAACATACGAGAAAGTTTGGATCAGTCATATCTTTGCAATAAATGCATCAATCAAAATGATGAAACCATACATAGAATTCTTGGAAGACTTTCTATTAACCCTGTAAATATCAAAGAAAAATATTGAAAAACAAAAAAGTTGCAAATTTAACATTTTTGAATTCACTTCCGTTCGCGACCGGAAGTCCGAACGACGAAAAATAAAGGTCGATCACCATATCTCCATTTGATGCTCTATCACGTCCGTGAGTTTCAATTTCATATCTTTAGCCGTTCTCAAGAAAATTAACGGACAAAATTCCATTTAAAAAAAACAAATTTCCCCAAAAATCGCGAACGAAAGTGATTTTTCAAAGAATGAAAAACACGTCTGGAGGTATTCTCACGATGCATCTTCCCTAAAAAAATCTTTGAAATCCGTCCACTCACAGCTGAGATATCGGCCGTACTATGAAAAAAGAATAATAATAATAACTAGATGCGTTTCTTGTTGCTAGGGCAACAAGTGGTCTTCCGACCGAACTTTTCTCCAGAACGCTATGCTATCTCACTTCATTCAATACTTTATTGAAGGTATTTTTCGTTTACGTTGATGTAACACAGTCTTTCAACATAGATCATAATTATTAAAGGATTTCTGTAGAATCCCTGTAAACAAAGCTTTAAAAAAATAAGCAAAAACTATCATACATGTCTTCACGGAGAAAAATATTATTTTCAACTGAAAAAAGAGAGAAACAATCTCCCGCCCAAGCAGGATTCGAACGCGCAACATACGAGAAAGTTTGGGTCGGTCATACCTTTGCAATAAATACATCAATCAAAATGATGAAAACATACATAGAACTCTTAAAAGACTCTCTATTAACCCTGTAAATTTCAAATAAAAATATTGAAAAACAAAAAAGTTGCAAATTTAACATTTTTGAATTCACTTCCGTTCGCGACCGGAAGTGCGAACGACGAAAAATAAAGGTCGATCACCATATTTCCATTTAATGTTCTATCACGTCCGTGAGTTTCAATTTCATATCTTTAGCCGTTCTCGAGAAAATTAACGGACAAAATTCCATTTAAAAAAAACAAATTTCCCCAAAAATCGCGAACGGAAGTGACTTTTCAAAAAATGAAAAACACGTCTGGAGATATTCTCACGATGCATCTTCCCTGAAAAAATCTTTGAAATCCGCCCACTCACAGCTGAGATATCGGCCGTACTATGAAAAAAGAATAATAATAATAATAATAATAGAAAACAGACGGAAAACAATAAGGTCTTCCGAAGGAAGTCGGAAGACCTTAATAATAATAGAAAACAGACGGAAAACAATAAGGTCTTCCGAAGGAAGTCGGAAGACCTTAATAATAATAAGAAACAATAGAATCACTATAAGGTCTTCCGTGAAGACGGAAGACCTTAATAATAAGAAACAGTAGAATCACTATAAGGTCTTCCGTGAAGACGGAATACCTTAATAACTAGAGCAAAGCTCGTTGCAAAGCAATGAGTAGGTCTTCCGTCCGATTTTCAGAAGCACTGCTTGTAAGATGGATAAGTGAAAGTAAAGCATTCGTTAAAAAGGCCTCCAGACAAAAAATTATGTCGATCTGTATTTAGTTTTTTATGATTTTTATGCTGAATTTCGTTAAATAAAGCAAATCAAGACTACTTCCGGTTTGACCGGAAGTGACCCCAATCGACAGAAAATTGGGTCAAAAGTCTTGGTTGAATTCAATCATTTGATTTCATGTTGATACCTGCAGAAATACGTCATTTATAGTTACTTCCGGCTTAGCCGGAGGTTGACAAAAGAGACGATACTCGACAGGAAATACAATCAGACATCCACTGTGACATGCATAATTCAATTCAATACAGTTCTGCTATCCTATAAGTTGACAATCCTTTCTTATCCTATGGTGAATCCTGCATCCACAATCCTATCCTGTGATTTCAGTCTAATCCTATCCTATCCTATCCTGCTGCTCTCAGTTTTTTAATATTAAAGAGTAAATTTGACAAAACGAAAAAAAAAAAATTATAAAATGACCATCAAATAAAAATCAGTTATAGCTATGTAATTAATTTAAATATTACTTACTTATGCAGCAATATACCTTCATCACCTGCATACGGGGTATATACATTGTATCTCTCAGTTGATTCGATACGCAAGAGCATGTTCATTTCTAAAACGAGGTAAATTATTGACAAATAAGTTGATGAAACAAGAATATCAGCTGTCTCGTCTAAAGTCATCATTTCGTAAGTTCTATGGTCGATACAATGACCTTGTCAGCAAATACAATTTATCATTGAGTCAAATGCTGACTGACGTTTTTCATACTAATTGTTAGGCCATTATTTACACACTGAATTGTCGACAGATTTTTCCGTTATTTCCCGATCATGACAAGGAGCACACGGCGGGTGTGACCGGTCGGCAGGGGATGCTCACTCCTCCATGGCACCTGATCCCACCTCTGATGTTTGGAGGTCCGTGTTTGCTCTGCTCCTATTTTGTATTGTATAATGGACTTTTGAGCTTTAATACTGTTCGTTATCTCCATATATTTCATGTAATAAATTTTAATGGAGAAAAAATAATTGAGATCGACATCCATTAATTTCCGACACCTCTCACGAATTAATTTGCAAGTAACCAGTTAAAATGTAAACAAAAGGATTGTAATAAAACGTATGCAAGTATTGATCTAGCGAACATGTGAAGAAATTGGAACTTCGGAAGAATTGAAGAAAAAAATATAATTAAACTTTATTTGTGTTTAATTTTACATACTAACAATGATCGGGAGACGTCAAGGTATTTGTGATTTCTTTTCGAATTTGTTCTCTAGGAAAAATAAATGGATTTAAAATTAGAGAGAGAAAAAGGGGGTAACAATAAAGATTGCAGATACTTTTTTATGTTATGATAAAGTAGACAAAAGGAACAAAATTTAAACTCTTTATAAGAAACAGACCACGAATACCAAATCTTTCATGCGGGGTAGTTACACTGAATTATAACCGTACCCATTGAAGAAACAATTTCTCTATCATGTCTACACATACTAAATAATGACAAAAGTAGGATTTGTTTGATGTTTTAACAAGTGTATGTTTCATCTGTTCATGTAAAATTTATGCAAAACTTTATTTTTCCCTTAACTGGGCATCACAAAATAACATACAGATCTAACTGCACCTATATCAGCTGTATATTAGATTTTACTTTTGACGTAAATCTAAATAAGAACTTCAAGATATGACAAGACCATAAACTGAGAACAGAGAAGTAAAAATTTAGATCTAGAATATGTTGACTTTCATTTATTAAATAAGTTAAATTTGTCTTATTATATTCAATTTTAAATGTATGATAAAATTTTGTTTTATATTTATTATTAAAGTTATTCTTGTTTGAAATGTTGAGTTCATCATTTGTTTGTATGTGAATATTTTACAAACATGCAACATTTTCATCATGTTTGCTAAATAAAAATCAAGATATTCAAAATGTTAAAATTTCTTATTTTGCTTCAGTTTGTTCTCAATTTATGGTCAGTTCAGTGCTGTACAAGTGTATCTTAATTAAAAAAAAATATTGATGTGTGAGAATTTAATCAATTTATGTTTAACAGAAAACATTTTCCTAAATCTTCATAGTCAGACAGGTTGACAGCAATAATTATTGTAGTCAGCTCACACATATTCCTTAGATCTTATAAAACATGCATAAGAGTCCACAGTTGTTACAGTATTTATAGCCCAAATTTAAGTAAATCTTGTTTTTGACCTTGACATTTGATCTTGAATGTTATTCAGTGTCTGAGGAATAAAAATAATTGACCAAGTTCACAATATTTATTCAGGGTAATTCCTTTTTTCAGTGAATATAAATATAATTATATATATTGGACCAAATACATAATATCTACAATTTATATTTACAATGTATTACAATTATCATCATGATTATGAGACAAATTCATTAAAAGTGTCCATGTAAAGTATATATTATTTCAATGCCAAGCTCAAAGATACATGAACATGTGGTTTGTTTAAATTGAAGTTTATCAATGTCTTATTACAATTGTATAATGTTTTACATGCATATTATTTGGTCTGCTTGTCAGTCGCTCAAATTAAATTTCAAATGTCAAAGTAGTTGTCAGAGAGATGGTCATAAAGTAACCGAACAGTTTCACAAATGTCATCAATGCACAGAAAACAAATACATCAAACACTGATCTCCTTAATAAAGAACACCTTCATTTCATACTCTAGGGGGCTCTTGGACACTGGTTTGAAAATCTTTCATTATTTATTCCAGCAGCAGATGAGATGAAGTGCAATTTGTACAGCTGCAAATTTGCAGGATTGTCCTGAAGAAAAAAAAACACACACCATTATATGCATGTAGATTGTAAATTTTGTCATATACATTAAAACTGTATTTGATTGTGATTATCTTTCTCATTTCATGTACAATTGTCTTAATTTCACCTTTTTCTCTCAGAGTAATGCATTGATTTTAAAGAAATCAAGCAAAATCAAATCTTATACTGCAACTTCATAGTCAAAACTCATATCTTAATTAAACAATCACAATTTACATAATTTACTTGTAGATTATAATTCATTTCATCTCGTCGACTTGCTAACTAGTATGAGTACATGTTTGGATGTTTTTTTTTTCTCTCTATTTTCTGCTTGTATTAATCTATTTAATATGTTGTTTGTTAATTTCTTTTCATTTTTTGCTCAAAATTTGAATATTAAAAAAATGAAAATACATATAACGTGACCATGATGACCAGAACAATTATATATTAATCTCAGGTTTACTGTCAACATTTTAAAAAGAAGAAAATCACTTATTCATAAAATCTGCAGACACTTCATCTCAACTTAGATAATGATTTTTACATATTTTTAATTAATGATACATGCATAAACACACACACACACACACAAAATAATCATACCTACTTCTAAATGTAAGATCCTTTATATTGTGATGACTGATGAGGGCAGGCAAAATTGGGTACCACTCTCTAGAATGAAGAAGAATAATAAATGATTAAATTATGAAACATGTTTTATGTTTAACTCACAATAGGTCATACATACAATGTACATGCAAGTGCTGAGTGAGCTTATTATACACAGTCAGGTCCAGTACAATCAGTACATTTAGCTACATAGCTAAAATTACCTACCGTAGCTTTATTTACCTACCTCAGGTAGCTTTATTTAGATATTTCAAGGCAACTTTTCACAATTTTGCTTTTTATTTTAAAAAAAACAAAAAGTCGCAAGAAAATGTCTACTAATATTTATTCTAGGTATCATTTAAAAAGCAATCTAAAGCAGAGACAGTTATAATACTGTTCGTTTGATCACTTTTAATATAAAATATATATATAAAATATATATTAATAGAAAATATGTATTCCTATTGTTTGAGTAACTGTACACACCTTGTGCGCGATGAGGCGTGGATAAGTATGATTACTTCACATTGTGCTCATGTTAACCAAAACTGGTTTTCTTTGTTATTACACTCAAGAAGTAACTGTTAGGTCACAAATTAACTGTTGTATATAGCCCCAAAACTTTTAGAACTTTGAGTGCAATTGCGCAAAAAAAAAAGACACATCTCCAAGACTGATTTTTTCATGAATTATTTTCAGATGAGTTCAGAGTTTAAAATCATCACTGTATCAAAGTGCAATTTTCTGCACTTTCTGGGAAAAATTCTTATTTAAGAAATAAGTTTGATTTAGTAGCTAAATAAAGCTACTTCAGGTAGGTAAATAAAGCTGTGTAGGTAATTCAAGCTACGTAGCTAAATCTAGTGATTGTACATGTACCAGACCTGACAGTAGCATAAGAAATGATCATGATGATTCTGCATTTAATTATTTTAAATTGCAATCAGATAAGAAAAAATATTTTTAACCACAGTAGGGAAATGATTATATAGCAATAACAAACTGAAAAAGGTTTAATACATCTGATCATGTGACAAAGTATTTGTAAATATTTAACCCCCCTACACGTCCCCTTTCTACACAACCTCTTTTTTCCGCATCCGATTTCTGTGTATATTACAATAGAATAAAATTTTAATACTTCAAGTCATTAAAACATTGCTTAAAGGGAGAGATGTGTATAAACATGCACACATTTACAGTGTGTAGTATACTTACAAGGTCTTGCACCAAACAACTGCGATTATGATCTGTTATAGTCCTCCGCTCACGGTTCCATTGGAATTATCCAGAAAAACAGAGCACATTTAACAGAGAAACATGTTATTGAACTGTAACACAAGTAGGAATCGAGTTAATCATCCAAACATGCTGAAGAAATACGATCTTTTGATGTCCGATCTCTTCCTTGTTCACATGCGAAACTTCTTCCGGTGATCGTTCACGGTTAGATCGTACGCCATATTACTCGAAGGTAATAGAATAACTGTGTGTTAAGACAAAAAATGTTTATTTTCTTTTGTGATTTTATAAATATTTCTTTTGTAAACGTTCTATGTCCTTTTGCGTTTCTGTAATTTATTTTGAAATATGAATCAACCTTTACTCCAATCTGAAGGTTGTAGGATACAGGATAGGATAGGATAGGATTGGATTAACTACTACATATTTCTATCGTGAATCCTCAATCCTGAATCCTATCCAATCCCATCCCATGTCAACTTGTGGGATAGCAGCACTGTACCAATATCTGTGAAAATAAGCTATTTTCTACTACTTCCTGTTTGGCCGGAAGTGACGTCATTCGACGCATCTTGATGATCTCGCAAGCTGCTACTTGTCATGTTGAACAACTTTGCTTCTTTGAAGTATTACAAAATACAAAATCTAAATACTTTTTGAGATATCAGGAAAAATATTTTGGCCCCTTTAGATTCCTTATTCTAGGGGCCAGCCCTTTTTTCGAGATATCATTTAAAAGATCTTATAATTCTGCACAAATTTTGTTGTATATGTTTTAACAAAATATTTCCAAGTAAAAAGATATCGTACAGAAAGTGTTCGAAATTTTGAAACTTTCGATACGCATTTTTTCAGGCCAAAGACGTTACGCGTGATGTTGGTGACGTTTGACGTTACGTTATTATAGCGCTACGGAAAAATTGACGTAATGCTTCTACAATGTAAAAGTGTTACTAGCTTGACTGGTACCATATCGCTATGTCTTTGTACTTGAAATATGAGTAAAAAAACCATAGGCTACTTGTAATTAAACCAATTTAAAAAAGGGTGATTTCGATTTGTATCTGATAAAGTTTGTTAATTACTCAAAGCACTCTCAAACGCACTTACATGCATTACGTTGAAGCAAAACGAATAACGCGTCAAGAACGTCCACCGGACAAATAGGTTGAACCTCCTAAATGTTGAGTAAAATATTAATTAATGGAGTAAATTTATTAATCTGTCATTCAATATGATCGTTTATATTAGCACATTTTTAACATATAATTATTTTTATAATCGATGAAAAAAAAAATTAGAATTTAACCCCTCGAAAAACGGATTGATCTCATTTTTACACGTCATTTTAGACGCTGGACATTTCTGTTGAACTTGTAATCCATAAACTAACTACAAAGCATGCAGTTTAATATCAACATTGATGAAATATTTGAAATATACAAGAAAAGCACATTATTTTGATATAAATTGTTTCTAAACTTTTTGTAAATGAGTAAAATCAATCTCTATATTGACATGCACGTTTTTGATTAATAGCGTTACAGATTCTTATTATGTAAATAACTATCGCTTTCTTTTTCTTGCCACCACTGAATACAGAATCGCTAATGAAGTCACAAACTACATGGATTCCTCTTGTTTTGTGAGAAAAATGAAAAGTGTAGATTCTTTTTTGAACACTATACACAGGAAAAATGCGTGATCCCTGCTTAAAAAATATAACGCGTTACACGCTTAAGATTCCTTTTATTTGCGCTGTAAAATTCTATATTTTGCATAAAAGTTATCTTAATGTTATTTTCTGACTGGAATCGGGTAGTTCTGTTCAAAACCTATCCATTCATACCAATATCACCCATATTGCGAGTTGTTTTTTTTAATCACCGATGGGTTTAATAGGCCAGGTACTAAAATTGTAAAATGGCACCAACATTGTCATAGCGAGCGTCGGCGTGTGGCACTTCCGGTGAAAGTTAAGTACGTATTACAGATCTACATATATTGCTCTGTCTTCCCTAAAAGTTTCACGTTCCTGTGATGAGTGGTTTCTTAGAAAACCTGTGGACAAACTGACCCTCCAAAAATCACTAAATCGCAAAAATCTTCAGACCGGAAGTGACGTCATCAAAATAAAAAAATATGTATCAAGATTTTTTAATGTTCTATCAGACCTGAAAGTTTCATGAAAATCAAGCGAACCGTTTTCGAGAAATTGCGTGTACAAAATCGGTAAGAAAAAAAATTATAAGAAAAACAGTGAAAAAGAAACCGAAGAATAACAAGAAGGTCTTCCGCTGAAGACGGAAGACCTTAATAATAATAAGAAGAAACAGTAGAATCACTATAGGTCTTCCGTTGAAAACGGAAGACCTAATAATAGAAAACAGACGGAAAACAATAAGGTCTTCCGAAGGAAGTCGGAAGACCTTAATAATAAGAAGAAGAAACAATAGAATCACTATAAGGTCTTCCGTGGAGACGGAAGACCTTAATAATAATAAACAGAACAATTTCAATAGGTCTTTCCACAGAAAGGTGGAAAGACCTAATAAACAGAAGCATTTCAAGAGGTCTTTCCACAGAAAGGTGGAAAGACCTAATAATAAGAAGAAGAAGAAACAGAGTAAAAACAATATGTTCCCAAACTTCGTTTGGGGAACATAATAATAGGTTCAATAAGTGAAGAATATAGTTTTAAAAGAGTTTTTACAGATAAGTTATTTTGAAATGGTAAAGAGTGTTTCATTGCATAAAAAGCTTTTCTTGCACGGTCAGCTAGGTGTTCAGCTGCATACTTAAGTTTACCATTATAAGTAAAAATAATTCCCAGATATTTATATTCATGTTCAAGATGAACTATTGAATGATTATAATAAAAACAATGTTGAGCTGTGTCAGGTTTCTTATTTGAGAAAATCATTGCTTTAGTTTTATCAGGGTTAACAGTCAATTTTGATTTTATGCAATATTCTGAGAGACAGTCTATTGAGTTTTGGAGACCTTCTTTAGTAGTAGAGAGGAGAATTAAGTCATCTGCAAAGAATAAATGCCCGACATCAATATTCTGTAATTCAGGAGGGTTTGTGTTATAATTAACTAACTGCGAGTAGAAGTCATCAATAAATATATTAAAAAGTGTTGGGGAAAGATTATCTCCTTGTTTAACCCCGCGTGTAGCTATAAAATGTTCACTATAGCAAGATTCATCTTTACAGCAATATTTAGTGTTTGAGTACATATTATTTATAACATTGTAAAATTTCCCACCAATGCCCTTTTGGTATAGTTTGTGTAACATTAAAGTTCGATCAACTGTATCAAAGGCTTTGGTAAAATCCACAAAACATGCATAAATGTTTTGTTTCTTATATTTTATGCACTTATTTATAAAAGTTTTTAAAATAAATATGTTATCTGTGGTACGGTGGTTTCTTCTGAATCCAAATTGATAATTACTCAGAAGGTCATTTGTTTCCAAGTACGAATTTAGGCGGCATTGTAAAAGTCCATTAAAAAGTTTACCCATACAGCTTTTAACACTTAATCCTCTATAGTTTGATGGGTTACATGGGTCACCAGATTTATAAATAGAAGTTATTTGTACCAAATTCCAGGCTTCGGGTATTTCCCCAGAAAAAAGAATTTTATTAAAGAGTTTTGTTAATATATTTAGAAGTGTACTTGAACCACTTTTAATAAATTCATTGAGTATTAGGTCTTGTCCAGGTGATTTACCAGTTTTTAGATTTTTAATGCCAAGCTTGACTTCACTGTATGTGAAAGGGTAGTCAAGGGGAGTAAGTTTCTGTATTTCAGATTCAACTACATGTTCACAGGAGTTATTGCCCTTAGAGCACAATAAGTTTTGATAGTGATTCATAAATGCTTGAAGTCCTGGAGTGGAAGAATTTGAGTTTTGCTTAATTTTATTTTTATTCAGGACCTTCCAAAAATCTTTTGAATTGTTCTGATTTAGGTTGTCGATGTATCTGTGATAATGTTAAATATTTGAATATACTTCTAGTTATAACTATAGTGTCTTTAAAATAGGCAACATTTCAAAATAAAAATTGTCGGAAATGAGATTTAAAAATGTCGGAAATGCTATGCAAAATTCCGGAATTAAAATGCAGCGTTAAAATACGTAAAAGAATAGTAATTTTTTAGTAATTATCGTAGTGTCTAAACATGTCACGGCTATAATGGTTACATGGTATGAGATCAAGTCCAATTAATAATTTCACAGAGAAAGCGCACTATAGCAAGATAATTTCATTACAAAAACAACACATTAATTGACAAATGATTCTCGCGAAAGTGAAGCATTTCTAATCACTGTACGTACTACCTGTAAAGTCAGCAGTTTTTAATGTATTCAATGTATAATGAAGGGATTTTGAACAATTTTGAATCATTTTAAACTAATTAAAAATGCATTGCTAGAAAACGATGAAAGTGAAATGAACCAAATTTACATGACTGATAACGTGTGAGAAACTGAAACTTTGAAACTTTGAAACTTTTATTTTCACTAAAGCCCCCACATGGGGTATGTTAGTACAATAAGAGTTTAACAATTGAACAAATCAACATGTGAACAGTTAACATAATGAACCACAAAAAGAACTTTGATATGGACAGTACTGACGGTTGTATAAAAAAAAAAATCGTTTAATGTTTACATTGCAGGAAGTTCTGGCATGAAATAATTTAAGAACAGTTTTACAAAACTTAGCTAAACCTATAAGTTCATATATATCAGAAGTATTCATCAAATTATAAAAATATATTGTGTTTAGATTTGTGTAAATATTGCTAGGTATAAATTTCTGTCTTTCATTCTTAAAAAAAGGACACTTAAATAAATAATGAAACTCATCACCAAGTTCATTGTTATTGCAGAGGTTACAATGTCTCTCAGATCTATCAATACTATAAAATCTACCAGCTTCAATTGGCAAGTTATGACTGACACAACGAAATTTACATAAATATAATCTAAGATCATTTGGTAACATGTTTAGATAATTTTCAAAACCAAAATCACACTTGTACATTCTATAATTAAGGCATTTTGGAGAATTTAATACATTTACATTCCAGTCTTGGATAAAACTATTTCTTAATGTATTCTTAACCAACACACCAAT